TTAATAGCACATTTCTATTCAGTCTTACCCTATACAGTCAAAGATTACAAATATTCACAAATATAAGACTGTACCAAATTGGATTCCATCACCATTGGGTTGTGTGTCCTGGCACAGTACTTTCCTTTGGGAAGAATTATGGTGGACAGTCAAGTAAGCCCAAGGTTCTAAAAAGGATCTGAGACATTTGTATTCCAAAGGTCCACAGGTTTCTTTTAGGCAGTACCTAGGATGCCCTTCTGTTTTGATTTCTTTCACCAGGTATCTTGGTCTCATCTCCAAAAATTTAATTCTGCAAAGCATAGCTTCTGCCTTACCAAACAAAAACTCTAGATTCTCCACACTCCACCAGGATTCAAGACACTAGGACTCTTACCTTAACTAGATGTCTTTGTAACTACAGTCCTGATTAAATGTGGATTTAGAGGTCAGATACAATGGATTCTGCCTGTAATCTCACGTACTAGGGAGGTAGAGAATAGGAAGATCACAGTTTGAGGCCAGCCCAGGCAAAAAGTTAGTGAGAGCTCATCTCAATAAACAAGATGGGGCGTGGTGGAGCACATGTATAATCCCAGTGATACAGGAGATGTGGGTAGGAGAGCATAGCCTTAGGCTGGCCCTAGGCAAACGCGTGATACCTAGCCTAGCCTGAAAGGACTGGGAGGCATGGTTCAAGTGATAGAGTGTTTGCTTAACAAGCACAAGGACCTAAGTTCAACATTCAATACTACACACACACACACACACACACACACACACACACACACACACACACACACAGATTCAAGCTTGAATATCATGCAGTAATAAAAGTTGCACACCTAGAACTCAATTTCCATATATATATATATTAAGGGCAGAAGAACTATCTGTCAAGGAAGAAGCCCAGGTTTCTCCTTCTAATTCTGCAAACATAGACAAATTTTTCTAACTTTATTTACTCTTCTATGAAAAGATAGGATTGTGGTAAGACCCCACAGTTACTGCTTCCACTGAAAGGTTCTAAAAGCTCTTTGTTGGTCCGCTTGGAACTGTAGCTTGGGGAAGAAAAGCATAGTGAAATGTTCTTTGCAAACAATGCACTAAGTGTTTTCCAAATGTAAATATATCATCCCATTTAATCTTCCCAACAGTCTCCTCAGACAGACACTATTGTTCCAGCCCCAGTGAGAAAACTGTTCAGAAGAGTTCAGGAACTTGTCTGAAATAAGACATCACCTAAATAATCTAACTCAGAGTCAGGTGTGGATATAGTGGAGATAACGTTTCTCCCTCCCTCTCCCTCTCCCTCCCCCTCTCTCTTTCTCTCTCTCAGCATATATGTAATAAATGTCTGGGCTTAAGTAGGAAAATAGGGAGAAAATTAGAATTCATTAAATGTTGCTTTTTAGTGAGGCAGCTGTCAATATCCTGCAGGATGTTTTGTTTGTTTTGTTTTGTTTTGGATAATATATCCATATAATCTGGTTTGGCCTCCAACTCCCAACCCTCCTGCCTCAGCCTCTTGAGTGTTGAGACTACTGGTATACATGTGTTGCCATACTGGCTTAATATCCTGGAATTTTGAGCTTGGCTCTGCTATTTACTACATAAATAATGTTAGGATAGCCATGTAACCTTTTTGAACTCAGTTTTCCCATCTGCACAATGGGTATATTAATAATAAAGCTTAATTCACAATGCAGGTACCAGGATATATAAATTCAGACTCTCTAGGAGTTTGGCTCTGGAATCTACTTTCAATAGGAAATACCAGTAACACACTTAGGCACACTTAAGTATTAAGATCCTTGGTTTAAGAGAGCATGTTTATCTTTTGTATTTTGAGATTTTTATATGAGATATTATAAAGTAAATGAATAACAACAAATAAATGAATCAGGCAAAGTCATGTATGGTGGTGTATACTTTTAAATTCAGCACCTGGAGAAGCTGAGGGGGGATGATTGTGAATTCAAGGACTACTAGGCTATAGAATGTGATCCTGTCTCAGAAACAAACAGCCCCCTCTCTGCTTAGGAATCATGGGTCATGAGTACAGAGAGGGCATGCATTTCTATGCATTCAATGCAAGATGACTAGTAAGAATCTTTAAACTATCTTCTTCAAGACATCAAATAAGATACAGAAAACAATCCTGTTATTGTTTTTATAGCTCAATACAACATTTTCTGAATGGAGCAAATATTCATTTTTCAAGAAATATTTTTTGGAAAAGATTTAGTTTTACCAAACTTTAATGAGCTTCATAGATTGCCTCTATTTTCTTGCATTTATAGGTATTGGCACCTGATGCTATTTTAGAAATGAACATGAGGTGAAATAATGTTGAGCTAGACATTGTGTGCACACTTGCAAAGGAAGCTCAGGCAGCAGCTCCAGATACTTACATTTTTGGTCTGTTAGGGGAGCTAGGTTGTTCCGATTGAAAGGAAGATCCCTGATTTTGGGTCTGTTTGGGGATAGATGCTGAAAATTTTGTCCTGGGAACAAACATATTTGTATTAGTCATTTGAGACTCAGTCAAACACAAATTATAAAATGCAGCAGATTAGAGAGTCATGAAAGTTGTTACAGATCACTAAATTGAATGTACACAAACAATGAAATCAAGACTAGCCACACTCAACTGCATTACTACTAGTAGATTCCATTGGTTATTTAAGTGTGAAGGAACAAGGAATCATTTTTGGAATGGAGTAGTGTAAATAAAATTTTATAAGCATGCAGTCAGTCACTTTATAATATTTAAAGTTTTTTTTTTGTTTGTTTTTTTGTTAGTCATGGGGCTTGAACTTTGGGCCTGGGCACTCTCCCTCAGCTCTTCAGCTCAAGGCCAAAGCTCTACCACTTGAGCCACAACGCCACTTCTGGTTTTCGGGTAGTTAATTGGAGATGAGTCTTATGGACTTTCCTGCTTGGGCTGGCTTTGAACCGAAATCTTCAGATCTCAGCTTCCTGAGTAGCTAGGATTACAGGTGTGAGCCACCAGTGCCTAGCTAAAATTTAAAGTTTAAAAAATAATCTGAATCTGGTATATCTTCATTTTTTAAATTTAATTACATTATTTTTGTTGTTGTTGTTAGTTGTGGAGCTTGAACTCAGGGTCTGGATGTTGTCCCTGAGCTCTTTCACTCAAGGCTAGCTTTCTACTCCTTTGAACCACAGAGCCATTTCTAGTTCTGAGTAGTTGGGATTACAGGCATGAGCCACCAGTCCCTAGCCTGGCATATCTTTACACATATCTATCCCCCCATCTTTGATGAGTGAGTGATGACTAGCTTTTCCTAGAGCAAAGTTTCTTAATCCTGTCTGCACATGGAAGCATATGATCTTAAAGAAACAACTGCTACCCTTTCTATCCCCCAGGTCAATTAGACCAGGATTTCTAGAGGTGGAATGCCAGATTTTCTTCAGCTTCCAAGTAATGCAAATGTGCACAGGTTTGTAAAACGCTGAACCAGAAGACAGCTAGGTGAGGTTCTAAAGAAATAGCCCTTTTTATGAGCTGAGGTGGAGGGCTGATGGGAATTGATTGATATCAACCTGGTGTTTGAACTTGGCCATCAAGTGGAGCCTGTTATTTAGAAAATTCAACACACTACTGATTACAAAAGATGGGTATTCTAGATATCTGAAAATAGAAAGGCATACACGAAAGTTATTTAAGTACATTTTGAAAGTTGGCCAAGTAATATAATAGCTGAGAGCTTCAAGCTCCAAGGTTAGCCAGGATTGGGCTGAATTTTCTGCTTCCCTATATTTTAGCTATGTGATTTTCTATGCCCCAACTTCCAAATCTATACAGTGGGGAAAATAATTGTATCTGAATTTTCTAGCAATTAATAAATTGGAGAGTAAGTATGAAGTGTTTAGCTTTAAAAAAGTAAAGCACTCAGTCAACATTATATATAAAAAAGATTTGATACTTAGTAATCTAGTAAGAAAGGACTTGAATCATTTTAGCAATACTCATGAAGTTAAAGTTTTCTATTTGGGCAAAGTAGTCCTTGGCATAAGACAAAAGAAAAAATAACTAGTCAAGATTCCACCTACTTAAATGAACCACTTAAGCAGTTTGATTCTATGGAGACTGAACAAAATTTCTTGTTTTATACTTCTCTTCCTCCTGCTCTTCTTGCTCCTCCTCCTGCTCCTCCTTCTTCTTCTATGTTAGTGGGCATTGAACTCAAGGTCCCCAGAATGCTAGGCAAGGGATCTAACACTTGAACTATGCCTCTAGACTTTATGTTTGTATTTTGTTTTTGAGACTGTGTCTCACTAACTCTTCCATGACTGGCCTCAGACTTGCAAACCAGTTGAGCCTGCCTCTTGATTAGCTAGGATTACAGGCTTGAGCCCACCACACTTTATTTATATTTTAATCCTTTAACGTTGAAGATCAAACAACTTCAAGAGCCATTATTTACTGAAAAAAAATTCTTGGGTAGAATTATATTAAAACTCAAATTGGCTCATCTCTTGAAGGCAAGAGCACATGTTTACAAGACTAAGCAATGACTTTGGTAACAATAAATAGTGGTGTTTTTTTTTTTTTTGGTTTTGGTTTTATTTTTGGTTGGTCATGGGGATTGAACTCTGGGCCTGGGCACCGTCCCTCAGCTCTTCATTTCAAGGTGAGCGCTCTACCATTTGAGCTACAGCACCACTTCCTATAAATAGTGTTTATTGAATACCTTCTATGGTCTGAAGCTGGGATAACTACTGCAGGCATCATCTTGTTTAACCTTAGCTGCCACTTTTTCTCCAGAGATAGGTACCATTGTCTTCCTCATTTTACCCTACTCTTGGAGATCACATTCTGGGCCAATTTGGCAGACCAAGTTTGCCTGACCCTAACTCCACCCTATCCTCCATCCCTTGGCCTCAAGTCAACCATCTACTGAGAAGCCACCGCTGCACTGTATTCCAGACTGAAGGGCACAGAGAAGGGGGCACTTCCCAGTGCTCAGCGGGGCTGTAATTTAAGTGGGAGTGAGTACTGGCCAACTCAAAAATCCTGAAGCCACAAAGTAACGCTGGGATACATGTGAAAACATTGCTGTGGAAGGGGAGGTCTGCCATTCACCTAACCACTTCTTTGGTAATCTGTGACCTTGGGCAGGTGAGCGGAGCTCTGTGAGTCTCATTCTCCTCTGCCTTGAAAACTGAAGCCCTCCACAAGGCAGGGATAATTACATTATGAACAGGAAGGGGTCACCCCTCCTACAGGGTTCAGCTGCTCTTCACGGGAAAGCTGACTTTTCAGCTGACTTTGCTCCCCCTGGTTTTGTTTGAGACAGGGTCTTACTAGGTAGCCTGGGTTGCCTTATACTTGAGATCCTTCTGCCTCTGCCCCCCCCAGTGCTGGGATGATAGGTGTGTGCCACCATGCGCGGCTTGAGCTTGGCGGAATTGGTCACATTCAACAGAGAGGCTAAAATGGAAATGTAGGCAAAGAGTCACAAAGTGCAAAGGTGACTTTCCAGGAATTGAGAAATATTCAAGGAACTGGTGAGGCCCAGGAAGCGGGGACTGGAGAGGAGAGAAATCCAAAGTGGCACACAGGTCAGACAGCAACACTGAGGGCTGTGTTTGTCCAGTTAAGGAATTTAGCTTTTGTCCTGGAAATCGAGAAAGCTGCTGATGTTTTTAAATGGAAAGGTCACAGGATCTGACCTGCTCAGCCAGAAGAGTGCATTGTTGCTGGGATAATCTAGAAACTTCTGGAGAAGGAAGTTCTCCCTAGAGGGAGAAAGGAAGTGAGCACTTTGTTCTTGTGATGCCTTGTAAATAACCAGGCTAGCAGAAAACACCGCAGAGCTTTCTGTTCCATTTTCTCTGAAAGCTGCTCACAATAAATTAAACAGAGGTGCTCCACATTCCAACTCATTAGAATAAGTGCCTCATCCCCATCTGTCATCTAGCCTGCTGACAGGTCTCAATAAATGTTAAGTAATCATCATTACAGCTAACTGTTCAGAGTTGCTGATGTAAGCACGGGATAGCAGCTGCCCAGAATTCAAATAGTGGCATTTCTAACCTGCATTATTCTTCCACTGAACCTAGGCAGGAAAGGAGAAAAAGGCCAAAGCAAAAGGGACTACCCAAGTTCAAGTAAGTGGCCCAATAGTCTGACTTATGGTATTTTATTGCTTTAACACATTAAGGTGAAAATATGGAAGTTCATTGTAGAAATCTGCTCAGTTTCAGTGTTCCTGGACTTAGGAACTTCAACCCTTCCAGAGACCCCTTCCATTTTAATGCAAAAGGCTCAGTAGTTCTAAAACTAATGGGTCATGTGGGGATAAAAATGATCACACGAATACAGTCCATCAGGCAGGAAAATCTTTTCATTTAGTGGAGAACAATGTAATTGACAAGAAAAATTACATGAGAGATAATTGGTAGGAAAACCAATAAACTGGACTTTAAGATTTAAAGAGAGGAACATATTACTAGTCCTAAATAGGACTTCATTTTCCTATTAAGGAATTCTGTGTTCAAGTTCTGAATATATCATTCATTGGCTACAAGATAGAACAAATCATTGAACGTTTGTAAGTATGTGCAAATTGTGACCAGAAAGGGTCCCACGAGACAAAAATAGTCCCAGCTCTTATGTCTAGAGGGTCAGAACTCTTGGTCCAGAAATATGACATTTCTTGACATCAATCTGACTTCACCTAGGGAAGCAGACACCTATAGTTCTTTCAAGCAGAGGGAAATTCATATAGAAAATCAGTTATAAGCATGAGAGAAAAGCTGGGAAGCCAAACAGTGGGACAGTGAAGAGTAAGTGAGAATAAGGCTGGCCACAGCTGGAGGGATACAGGAAAGGATGGTGATACTAAGGCCCAAGGAACTAAGCTGGAGCCAGCACCACAAGGACGGGCACACACATAGAGGGAGCTGGATGAGATGGAGCCTGGTGGAGAGTCCATGGGAAGCAGGGACACCATGGATAGCGGATGGTTTTCTCCTTTCATTCTTCTGTTCATCATATTGGACTGCCTTCCTTCCTCCTTCTTTCCTTCCCTCCTTCCTTCCTTGCTTCCTTCCTTCCTCCCTTCCTTCTTTCCTTCCTTCCTTTCCTCCTTCCTTCCTTCTTTCCTTTCTTCTTTCCTTCTTTCCTTCCTCCCTTCTTCTCTCCTTCCCTCCCTCCCTTCTTCTCTCCTTCCCTCCCTCCCTTCCTCCTTCCTAAGGAGTGCTCAGCTTAAATTGCATTATCTTTAAAATAAAAGTTATCTGTAGCTTTGTCACAGTGGATGAGGAAGTCTCCAGGGGTGAGAGAAACTTAGCAGGAGGAACCTTATTGACAGGAGTAGGTCCTTAAAAATGTCTCCTCTAGAACTACATATTACACCGAACCCTTGTCATCTCTGCCTCTGTGTCCATGAGGTAAGCCACTTTGCTCCACACATCTCCTGTCATGATGTTCAATCTCTACCCAGGTCCAGAGCCCAGTGGATTGGCTAAAGTCTCTGAAATCATGAGCCAAAATTAATCTTCCCTCCTTTAAACGGAAAGGCTTAGAGAGATGAAATAACAGCAAGGAAGTAACGGAGGCAGAGTCTGGACTTAGATGGTAGGGCTTTAGGATCCTTCTTCATTACCTCTGAGGAAATTGGATGACCAAGGTTCTTTCCACCTATGACTTTGTGTCCAAACATGAAAAAAAAAACTCACTTTAAAGTCAGTGTGGGGCCAGGGCTATAGCTCAGTGGTAAGAGTACATGCTGAGCATATGCAATGGCTTGCATTTGATCCTCAACGACAAAAAAAAATCAGTTGCATAATCATTTTAGCAAATTCATTTCCTTTAAAGCTTCTTTATAAGCTGAAGTCTCAGAAGACTTGACTTATCATAACTCAGTTTCCTTCAGTATCTATCTCCTAGCTATAATTAGCACTGACTGTTGAAAAAATAAATGCTTTGTTATAAATACAGCTAATTTCCATTGGAGCTGGGTGCTGGTGGCTCATGCCTGTAATCCTAGCTACCCAGGAGGCTGAGATCTGAGGATCACAAGTCAAAGCCAGCCAGGGCAGGAAAGTCTTTGAGACTCTTATCTCCAATAAACCACTCAGAAACCCAGAAGTTGTGCTGAAGCTCAAGTGGTAGAGCAGTCGCCTTGAGCTGAAGAGCTAAGGGACAGCGCCCAGGCCCAGAGTTCAAGCCCTACAATCAACCAACCCAAAAAAAAATCCCTTGGAGAGTTTTGCATCTCATTTTTGCTGTTCAGCTGCTCTAGGACTTTCCTGGTTGCTTCAGTGGGGACTAAGCAATGCCCTTAACATATGTATTAAATGTCCAAATTATTTTACTTCAAGTAATACAGAAAATGTTGTATTATACATGAGACAGATTGTACTAGTTTTACATCTAATATCTACCCTTTGTTCTCCTTTTGAAACAGAAGTCCCATTTTGAAGACAGACATATGCCCAGCTGTAAGACTACAATTCCCAGTCTACCTTGCAGATAAGGTATGAGCATGTGACAAAAGTTCTGGCCAATGAGATGCAGGCAGAAGTGTGGAACTTGTAGATTTTTAATGGGGTTAATTCAGGTGGGGACATCCACCTTCTCTTTCCCTTCCTTCCTCCTTTCCATCAGCTATTGAATGTGACATGACCTGGAGAAGAAGCCGTATGTTAGGCTTTGGATCATACAGAAGGAAGGAGCCTGAGTTACTGGGGATCACAGTGTAAGTACTATTGTTTGATTGTCTGAAACATTTTGCTGGGAATTTACTAAAGGAGTTTAGAATCGTAAATATTGTATGTCTTTCACCGTTAGAAGCTCAGAAGCATCTCTCAGGGAACCAGCAAAATATCTATGACCACACTCACTGAGACTCAATGGGAGTACAGAATCCTAACATAATTATCAGCCAGCAAAGACAGCTAGCCTAGTCTCATTTTCCTAACTAGCCTTTTGTACTTATTCCCTGCCTGAGCACCTGTAGCCCCCCTCAGTTATCTGGCTAACATGTTGTAAGTCTCACACTAGCTTTGTTGCAGATAACACCTCTAACACATGGATTGTGGATTGTGGTAATGCTTACTTTGGTTACTCTTCAGGGCTTGATGAATGAGTTTGTTGACGCCACTGATTCTTCACCCAAGTGTCTGATGGGTGGTCTTTCATTTCAAAAGGTAAATACTCAGGGCTGGGAAGGTGGCTCAGTGGTAGAGTGCTTGCCTTGCATGCATGAGGCCCTGGGTTCAATTCCTCAGCACCACATAAGCAAAAAGAAAAAAAAAGCCGGAAGTGGTGCTGTGGCTCAAGTGCTAGAGTGATAGCCTTGAGCTGAAGAGCTGAGGGACAGCGCCCAGGCCCAGAGTTCAGGCCCCATGACCAGATCCAGAAAAAAAAGATAAATACTCTATTCTCTGATCATGCTTACATACCACAGGACATGTGTCCCATGAAGTGTGACTGTGTGGCATACCACTGACCATTTCATCTCCTATCACCTTTCCCTTATACCTATATCCCCAAAATTCTTTATCCCATAAATGCCCCCAAAAGCTATACTCAAGGAGATGATTTGAGATTTGAGGATATCTATGCTTGGCCATGTAGGAACTCACTTTTTTTTTTTTTTTGCAAAAATCATTATATCAGTGATTGGTATACTGAGCAGAAAGCACAACATGCTTGGTTTAGTAACAATTGCTATAGATTTTTTTTGAGCTAGGATTGTGCTATGGGGCCCAGGTTGGCCTTGAACACTTTGTCTAGGGCTGAGAATACAGTGGTTCATACCACCATCTATGTTCTTTAACTGTGACTTTGGGTTTCTGTTACAGGCAGCTGAACTCCTAACTGATATGAAAAGATATCCCAAGATTGTCTAGGAAACAAAAAAGACTTTCAAAATGCATTTGGAAGGAGAAAGGATTAGCTTGATCAGGAAAGGAATAATTCCAAAAGGCAAGCTAACCAGAGGCCTTGGAGGCCACTAAAGTCTCAAAAGATGGCAGAATCACGTGTTCCCTTCATTTTTCTGCAGCAAAACTATAAAACTCTTGCTCATGGCTTTACGGGGCAAGTTAAACCTTCAGTGTTTACCTCAGATACCAGGACTTCTGCATATTTATCCTAGTTTAAGTATGTGTAAATGTGTGAAAAGGGAGTCATATTCAGATTCAAGGGATTCATGTATCAGGCATATGCCAGTAAAGTAAGAGAGCCCAACTCATTGTGTATTAACACGAAGGAATGTTCGTCCTTCTAAAAGAAACATGGTCTTCAGCTACTTTTCAAGACATGTATTGTCCTCTTCATTTTCAATTTTTCTGCTCTTAGTAGGAATATGGGTTCAAGAAATAGTTTTATCTCTTAATCCTACTACTAGAAAAAATGAGAGCAGAATAGTTGATAAAAAAAAAATGAGATGGGCCTGGAACTAGCACCTCACGCCTGTAATCCCAGCTACTCCAGGACACTGAGATCCAGAGGCTCATAGATTGGGGGGCCGCCTTTTCTGAAAAGTCTTTGAGAATCCATCTCCAAAATAACCAGGAAAAAGCCTGGTTGGAGGAACAGCTCCAACCAGGAGCTGTTCCTGGTTGAACCAGCCAATCGCGCAAGCCAAGGAAGTATAAGGCTGATTTCAAATAAGTAGTACCAACTAGGTTGAACCTGGGACAGTGGCAACTGAGATGACCGAGGTTTCTCAGATCTAGCCAGGTACTGCCACAAGGGAATTTGGGAACTCAATGTTGCCAGATTTTTCAATTTCTCAAGGGAAACTACCAGTTTTGTATTTGTTATATAACTTGTTATAAGTCTTAGAAATTGGCAATTAATCCATTCAGACAAATGAACATGCTCTGTGTGGGAAGTGATTTTAGCTGCTTTGTAGCCCCACAGGCCTCAGAAGCAGAATCACTTGCCAATGTTTTTAAATTAATAAATTGTTTCATGTGACACATGTATGTATAAGGAGAGGGAATATATACATATACATCCATACCTTATAAAAATATAAATATTGCAGTTATTGAAAAGAGAGATATAGGTATATTTCATATGTATAAATGTAGATACCTGTGTAAGTGAAATATCTTTGGAAGGATAATAAAAAAATTAATAGCCTGCCTTAGTAACTTTGGGTGAGGAGCCCTGAGTACTTAAGGGAAGAGACAGGAAGGAATATTGCCAGGTAATCCTTACATATAGTGAGACTTAAGAAATAAATACGTAAATGTGTGGTCTAACACTGCTATTTCCCTTCCTTTCTCAACAATGTTCAGTCTACCACACAAACAAATCAACTGCTTGTGATTAATTTTGCCACACACCTCTGGTTAAGAATCCTTTCTAGTGAAAATAACAATTATTCCTGCTCTAGGCTGGGAGACATCACATACATTTGCTAGGAAGATGAGAAGGCGCCCAGTTACCTGATCATTTTCAGGGCAGAAAAGCAGAACTGCATAACCTGGAAAGCCCCAATCCCATGGCAACCACAATTAAACAACAACAAAGGTCCTACTTGCTCATCTAATGCTTTCCCTGCCATGGAGGCTACTGACCTTTGGATTCCTAGCCTGAAACTGTGTTTCTGGTAAGAGGCTGCCAGGAATGGGAGAGCAAGCAAGGGCATTACCTGGTGAGGTAAGATGAGGAAGATGTGGTGGCCCAGGTTGCTCTTGGTGACTAGGTCGGGCAGCGAGCAGCCTGTCTAACAGCTTATCAGAAGAAGACACAGTCCAAGCTTTGTAGGAGAAAACCTGATTAGAATCACCTTTCCAGGAGTTATCTAACATCTGGCAGCCAGTCCTGTTATTTAGTAAGTCCTGCTCACTTCGACTTTTCTGCGATCGCTGGGTAGTATGCTGAGCACCCGAGCTCAGGCCGGCCTGGGAAGTGGTCCCCTGGGAGGCTGTCAGGAAGTTATTGCCCAGGGTGATAGGTGGGAGACTCTGTGTTCTGATTGGTGGAAGCCCCTTCCGGGCTAATGATTTCTTGTCTGACAAGTGATACTTTGAATTCTCGGAGGTCCTCTTCTTAAAGTCAACCATAGCTACCTGGTCACTAGGCTGGTCTTGGCAGTTGGTATCCACGATGCTGTCAAAGGTGGTAATGATGTCATCGACTTCCGAGGTGTCCTGCCCCCTGTGTCGGTCCCTGCTGTGATCCTTCTGATGGGCCTTCTGCTCATCTTTCTTATTTTTGCAGAAGATTTGGTTGAGCATGCTGAAACGTCCTTCCTTCTTGGGAGGTCTATTACTCTGAGAAGGCAGGGATCGAGCGGGCTCTGCTCTATGGAGATACAAAGGACCAAGGGTGGTATGTGAGGATAGAAATACGGGCCCTCATCCTACCTGCTTACTGAGCTTGTATGGGATCATTTACAGGGATCCCCTGGTGGAGGTGGCTCTCTCTGGTCACTTAGTACAGATCCTTCTTGCTCCTTAAGGGCTTTGCTTTGGCAATTTACCTCTAGTTGACCTGTTTTCACCAAGAATAATTCAGGTCAAATAGCCTACAAGTATTGCTGTTCTCTCTTCTCAAGCACACAGGAGTACAAGCTTTATGTAAAGAGGTAAAGTGAAGGAGTGAGTTTAGGCTTTGCTTCATGGGAGGATGGAAGCTGCAGGCTAGGAGAATGTGGCTTTAGGTTTTCTGTAAATGAGATCCCAGAGAACGGATCTTCTCTGAAGCACAGCTGGAATTATCCACCAGGCTACTTATCTGTTTCTCTCCTTTTATGTTTTCTGACAAATTTGCCAATTAAAAATATTTTTTTAAGTGAGAGAACATTGTTAGGTGCTGGTGGCTCACACCTGTAATCCTAGCTACTCAGGAGGCTGAGATTTGAAGACTGCTATTTGAAGCCAACTTGGATAGGAAAGTGTGTGAGACTCTTTTTCTCCAATTAACCACACACACACACACACACACACACACACACACACACACAAGCTGGAAGTGAAGCTGTGTGTAGCTCAAGTGGTAGAGAGCTAGCCTTGTACAGAAAGAGGCCAGGCTCAGAGTTCAAGGCCCAAAACCAGCATCCCCCCTTCCCCCCAACCACACACTCACACAAAGAGTATACTAAAGGATCTGGGAGAGAAGCCTTGGACAGATTTCCAGCTGATGTGTGTCTGCCATGTTTGGGTATGGCAGCAGAGGCAAGCAAGCTGCTGGATACCCTGGGGAAAGGTCAGCAGTAAGTGGCTGGCTCTGTTTATGATGAAGTTTTTCCCCCTCTTCCCCCACCCCTGGCAGTACTCTATTATTCCTTGGAAACTCTGCGCCATTCTCTTTTGAAGCCACAATGGAGTTAATGCTTCCTGTGGTATGAATTAATGATGAAACCTGACTTACACACGGCCCAGGGCTCAGACTGCAGCATCACTCTTTGGAGTGAAGTATTATAATCTGTAACTTTAAAAACACCACTGCTTTGAATGCAGGGAATATTTTCTTTACAGGTTACACAGTGTGTGATGGTCCTTATTCCCATGATATGTTTTGATCTTCATTCTTTCACTTTGCATAACATTTTTTTTGAAGTATTGAAAGCAGCTTCTCTAAGCTCAGGGTCCCTAGAGAGAACCTCAGGGGACTTCCAACATTCTTTCAAGTTTTCCCATGCAGAATATGGTCCCGGCACTAATGAAAACTATTTCAGTGTTTTCTACAACAGTGCCTTCTTCTGTTATAGGCTGTGATTTCACCCAATAGATTTCTCCATGCATCACTAAAGCTTAGGGGAGGTATTCCCAAGACTCTTTCAGGGGTTTCATGACATGAAAACTATGTTTATAAGTTGTTTGTTGATGCAGTGGAGGTATCGCACCCCCCTAGCACAAATTAGGACAACAGTAGCATCAATACACACCCTGTATAAATAGGCATTTAACTAATTATTGTCCTGTCAAGACACTAAAAGTTATTAATATGGTTAACTATTGCCTCCAGTATACATTGTGTGTGTGTGTGTGTGTGTGTGTGTGTGTGTGTGTGTGTGTGTGTGTGTGTGTTGGTCCTGGGACTTGAACTCATTTCCTGGGCTCTGTCCCATAACTTCTTAGCTCAAGACTGAGGCTCTACCACTCAAGCCACAGCTGTACTTCCAGATTTTTGGTAGTTAATTTGAGATAAGATTCTCATAGACTTTTCTGCATGGGCTGGCTTCAAAGTTTCAGACTCAGCCTCCTGAATAGCTAGGATTATAGGCATAAGCTACTGGCACCTGGCATCACAGTGATTTTTGAGAGTGTAAAAGGGTCCTGAGAAGTTTGAGAACTGAGGATTTAAGCAAAAGGGGATTAATAAGACATGGTACCACAGGAAAAAGAAAAGGAGGAAAAGGAAAGCAGAGATTCAAGTCCTGTGAAGGATGGATTCAGTCTTATTACTGTGAAATTTTCCCACAAAAATGAAGACCATTTTACTGTTAGACAATAGCAAACACAGATAATTAGTTGCATAAGTATTATTATTATTTATACGATTGTAAGATGACTCAGTTCTTGCTAGTTTTACACATTGGAGATTTTGAAACTCTTCCACTTTTCACAAACTTTTGATGCACTCACCTGCTCTCTTGGGAGAGAAGCTTGACACACGCAGTGTGACCACAGTACAGGGCATAGGCTAGAGGTGTGCTCTCATTGATATCCCTCAGATTGCTGTCCATGCCCAGCTCCAGCAGTGACCGGACACATTCTGCCTTGCCTGCAGCTGCAGCCCAGTGTAGGGGGGTCCTGCAGCAAGCACACAAGACGAACACAAGTCTGAGTGCATGAACTCCTCTTAGACTGCATATTCTACTCCAAGTGGGGATGAAGCTGGAAAATCACTTTGTATTTACAATATGGAAATACTTTGTGTGAAATGGAGCGTAAAGATGATGGTGTGTGGGCACAGGAGCCTCTCCTCTAGCTCTAAGTATAAACAGTTTTAAAGCTCTTGATACAGAGTGCCAGAAAGACCCACTCAATTTATCCTCCTACAACAGCGTCCTTACTCCTTTTCTAATGTCTGGTATGCTACCAACTTGACAGGCAAAAATCATACTTTGCTATTGTTTTCTTTTGATTTTCTTTATTTAAGATTAAGCCCAACTCTTGAAATCAACGTTTGACATTGCATTTATTTATTGAAAATTTCTTCATTTATTGGTAATGTCTTCTGTCTGTCTGTCTTTCATAACAGACCTTTGTATAAAGGTCTCACTATGTAGCCCAAACTGTCCTTGAACTCACAACCATGCTGCTTTAGTTTATAGGAGAGTGTGACAATACCTAGCTTCGTCTAATTTTCTAATAAAGTTGTTTTTCACTACTCGGTATGGGCTCTGTGTGTATTGAAAGTATTGATCTTTCCTGTTATATGTATGTAAACATTTTCTCTAATTACTTTAAAATATTTGTATTATTATTAAGGTGTTGTATAGAGGGGTTACCATTTCACAGCTCAGGTGATGCACGCATTTCTCTTTTGGACAATGCCACCACTTCTTTCTTGTGCAGTTTCCCGCTCCCATCCCTGCCCACAAGTTGCATAGTTACATATCTAATTACTTTTATCTATAACAGAAGTTTGAGAAGGGTGGTTTAAATAATGCATATAGAATTAACCCACTGTGGGGTAGGAGTTGGGGAGATGGGGAGGTAAGAGATGGTAGGGGAAAAACAAAGGAAGAGGTAACAACGCTCCATAAGAAATGTACTCATTACCTTACTCATGTAACTGTAACCCCTCTGTACACTATTTTTACCATACCAAAAAAAACATAAAAAAATCAACCCACTGGGAGATAGAATGGCCTTTCTTCAGATTGTATTATTTTTTTCTTATGTGTAGATTCATGCTGCCCTGTGCCTGTATGTTATGATGTTTGGAAACAGTGGACTTGTAATTGCTCAGATATTGCTGCCAGCTCAGTGGAGATGATTGAGAATGGATGGCTTTGGTCATCAGATCATTGTGGAAAGTACTGAACCCTGGATGCCATGTAATTCATTTTTAATTCAAGACTGAATAAATACACTGCATTTTTGAATGGTGTAGTGATGTAACCATATTGTATTCGGACTTTTTCCCTTAGGGGATGGAGTAAGAAAGTCAAAGAGCAAGATAGATATTCCTATGAATGAAGAGAAAGGCTACTCTCCTGTCAGTCATTCTGGAAATGGGCCAATCTTAGGGCAGGAAAGGAGGGTATATCAGGTCATTTGTTGAGGCCTGGGCAGAAGGGTGCTCTTAAGAGAAGGGTGCTCTAGGCATGGAGGCAGCCTGGGTCTGTGCAGAGAAGACTCAGTTGTGGCTACTTGGACATAAGGATATATTTGTGGAATGTAAATATATTCATCTACAGTGTATATGTTTGCAATGTAGTCTCATAGTCCTCCCACATAAATGACGCTCTCTGTCAATTAAACACCCTCTTCCTCAGTTTATGCTAGACACAGCATTTTCATGATACCTAATAGTGTGATATATTAATTTCAATACAGTGAACCATCACTGAACAGTTGAACATGACAGATATGATTTGCTCCATTCCCTGTAAGAGAGGTCGTCAGGCAATATTTATTCTGAAACAAAATGAGCCATCAGCAGATTATACCCTCCAATTTGGAGACTATATGGCCAATAAATTCTGTAGATGGACAGTTGGACATTAATCTATCTAGTCAGGCTTACCAACATACAACAATTCACTTTAAATACTCTGTTGCCAATGGTTTTAATTCCTTATCACTGTGGAAAAGATCTAAAATAGGAAAGAAAACTGAGAAATGAGGGCATCATACAGATAACCTCTGATTAATATCCCGGGGTATCTGTGGCATCGAATTGCATGTTGTCGCTGGGTACTGGTGGCTCATGCCTGTAATCTTAGCTACTCAGGAGGCTGAGATCTGAGGGTCCTGGTTCAAAGCCAGCCCCGGCAAGAAAGTCCATGAGACTGCTATCTCCACTTAACCAACAGAAAACTTGAAGTGGCACTATGGCTCAAGTGGTAGAGCACTAGCCTTAAGCTGAAGAGCTGAGGGAGAGTGCCCAGGCCCAGAGTTCAAGCCCCATGACCAACAAAAAATAAATGAAAATAAATAAATAAAAATAAATTGCATGTTGTTTGAACTATAACTCCTTTTGATATCTCAGCTTCAGGACAGCCCTTCAACAGCAAACAAGTTTCTGTGATCACAGTGGGAAGCTTGGAAATCAGGACCCATGATTCAGAAAGAATTTGGCAGACCCAAGCAGTGGATAGATGTGGATATGGTAGTCTCCAGATGGAGAGATGATGGGTGTAAGGATCGGTCAAACTCTCAATAGCTATGGAATGGTTTGTGAAACAAGTAAACATTCCCCTGAGAATTTCCAGAAATATGTAGGGAGGAGAACTTGGTAAAAGACGGTTCCTCCCTGAAGATAAATGAGTTGCTCATTAATGTGAATTGTGACCTCATTGACTGATGAAATTTAAAAAGCATACACTACATTAATTATCTATTTTGTATGTTTTTTTCTTTATAATTGGGAGGACTAGTTGTCCAAGCTCTTCTTCTATCTCTCTTTTATCAAAGCACTACTTTATTTTTTCTTCACTTGCCACAAAAATTTTCTTTGGGAAAACCTTTCATCAGAAAAGAGAAGGAAAGAAATTTACAATGATTATAAATGCTTAATACACGAACGCTTATGAAAAAATTGAAAAATTCAATTACTAACAGAAGGTTCTAGTTTCATCTTAATGAAGGCAGACTCACACATTTGGCATCAGAAAAGCCATGAAACAAGATGGGAGCAGCAAAGTGATTAACTCAGTATGTGAGACACGGCAAGGACTGGGCTTTGGAGCTGGGAGTGAGCTCTCTTGGAGAGGGAACTTCCCTTGAACTTTCTCCCCTAACATCTGGGGGACTAGCTTTTCTTTGCTCAGTTCATGGTACTAAACAAATGGGTAATATTGTGTTCAGGGATACTTCTAGGCGTATTTTGAAGAAGGTAATGTTCCTGTCCTCTTTTCTGAAGTTTGTTCATCCCTTTTTCAATGATTCAACTTTTCCATGTTACTAATGTAACATGAAATCTGCTCAGGGTCAACACCTGCTCTTAGGAAAAAGTTTAGTTTCAATAACTTATGAAAATCATCGTGTTAATCACTTACAGATTCTGAGACCTATGTGGAACCCAAGAATTGTTTCTCCTGTCTTAAAAAACATAGCAAAACAAACAAATATAACATATAAAATAGAAAACAACAGCAACAAAAATCACGAGGTATCATAAAGAGTGTTTGTGAATCATTTCAAATCATAGTCTGGAGGTGGCTAGCTTCACTTTAATAGGAAAGGGTACAGACATACCCAAATGATATATAAGCTTTATATATTTCCAGTAGCCATGTTCATATTTTTCTTCCACTTCTTTGTTTCTTTCTTTTTTGTCAGTTATGAGCTTGAACTCAGGGCCTGAGAGCTGTCCTTGAGCTTTTTTGCTCAAGGCAAGTGCTCTACCACTTTGACTCATGCTCCACTTCTGGGTTTTTGGTAATTAGTTGGAGATGAGTCTCATGAACTTTTCTGCTCAGCTGGCTTTAAACTGTGATCCTCAGATCTCAGCCTCCTGAGTAGTTGGGATTACAGGTGTGACCCTGTTGGTTCATTACCTAGCCAAAACAAAAGTCAAGTGAACAGGTTCTTGTAGATGAAAACCTCTTCATTTGAAAGACAGAAGTGCAAACCTTCACTGAGTGGCTAACTATCCTGAGATAAGTCTTTTTACCTTTTTGGACTCAGTTTCCTCTGCCAGCCAATACACTTTCAATGATTAAAAGAAACTAAAAGAAATGTCTAGCAGCCCATTTGTGTCCAATACAAAATCTCTCTATGTTCTCTTCTGGGTAAAACCTTGTTGACATTAGAACATAATTTGGGAATAAAGAAGAAAATAAAGTCTCCTATTATGAATAAAAAGGATACACAGCAGGAAGTTGCTCTATAGAAAGCCTTCTGAGAACCCTGAACACATTTAGCGAAAAGTGGAAAAACTGACAACACTGTAGTCACAACATTTCTCTCCATAACAATGAATTTTCCTCCTCTTACTAAAATAGAGCAATTTTTATTGCCACAAACCCATGGGCATTACCAGTAATAGGGACAGAGTACGGTAGGATAACTCCTTAGATAGCCTTAGTTTAAGATTAACACTACAGGAAGATGACTGCTGGTTCCCAGCACTTCCTGATTTGCCATGGATACCTGTCATCCACATCTAGAGCCTGCAGGTTACACTCAGGGACTTTTGCCAGGTCATTAATAATGTCACCGAAACCTGCAGCTGCTGCAATGTGTACACACGTCTTCCCACTCTCATCGTCATAGTTGATTATGGACGGGCCCCGGTGATGGCTCAGAATGATGGAACATAGAATTCGATTTCCACTCTGAAAAAGGGTCAGAGAAAGCCTATTATGAACAATACAGTGATTTTTATTTTTATTTTTTGTCAGTCACAGGGCTTGAACTTAGGGTCTGAGTGCTGTCCCTGAGCTCTTTTATTCAAGGCTAGTGCTCTACCAGTTTGAGCCACTTTCAGTTTTCTGGGTGGTTAATTGGAGGTAAGATTCTCACAGGAACTTTCCTGCTCAGGCTGGTTTTGAACCACGATCCTCAAATCTCAGCCTTCTGAGTAGCTAGGAAAACGGGCATGAGCTACTAGTGCTTGGCTTAATCTAGTGTTTATTTAAGTTAAAAATTCAGAGTGAATCCTAGCTACTTAGGAGGATGAGATCTGAGTATCACGGTTCAAAGCCAGCCCAGGCAGGAAAGTCCACGAGACTCTTATCTCCAATAAACCACTAGAAAACCAGAAATGGAGCTGTGGCTCAAGCGGTAGAGCACTCACCTTGAGCTGAAGAGTACAGGGACAGCGCCCAAGCCCAGAGTTCAAGGCCCACAACTGACAAAAAAAAAAATTCAAAGTGAAAGATATAAGAGAGAGAAGGAAAGGAACAGGTACACACACACACACACACACACACACACACACACACACACACACACACACACGGTACTCAGATACTAGAGTCTTGCTCCATTCCTTTTCAGATAGAATCTTATGTTTTTTCCTAGGCCAATTTTATACCTTGGTTCCCATTCTTCCATTTCCTGAGTAGCTGAAACCTCAAATGTGTGACATCATGTTCAGTTTGTTTTTTGAGATAGAAGCTCATTAACTTTGTCCAGGCTGTCCTTAAGCAGCACTCCTCCCGAGTCTGCCTCCTGGGTAGTTGCAGCTATAGAAGACTGCCAACAAGCCTAACCTAGAGGATATATTCTTTATAAATAATCTGTCAAAGGACAAAAATTACAATAATTGAAAGATCACTCCTTTTTTTCTTCCAATACTGAGGACCAAATCCAGGGGTTCATGCATGGTAGGCAAGCACTCTTGGTAAGCTACTTACCCAGCTCAGTTTAAAGTTTTAATTGGCTTTATTTTTCATGCTAAGATCAGCCAACCCTTAATTTCATGTCAATGGACTGAGCAAAGGACACCGTTTTCATAGACAAAAAATAGCAATAAAAACAGAAACAAAGAACAAAAAGACCAAATGACCACTGCAAAATTATTTTCCTTATTAGGATAAACAAAGAGCAGCATCAGAGCATGTTGTTGCTGTTTGTAACGGTAAAAGGATGTAGGATTAAAAGAGAAAGAATTTGCTGTCCTAAGTATCAGCCTGTTGAGAAATTTGGCCATCATCATCTTTCTTTGGTTTCTTAGAAGGTCAGATAACAATTTAGTCTGGGACTTGTGACATGGAACTTCAGTGTGGTGATTCCATTGAGTTTTTAGTCTGTTCTGTTAGGACTTGGTGCAGAAATCTAGTTCAAAACAATAATTTTTGCCATAATTTTTACTTTATACCTTCAACAAATTTCAATTTGTCACAACTCTCTGTAAGGAGTCTATCTCTCATTAGAGACAAATTGTCTTCTATAATTAATGAATTAAGGATGGACTTGATTACAGGTATTAAAC